TTTACTAATAACTCTGAAAATTCATGGGCACAACGGTTTGACGAATTAAAGTATCGAGTCGCGTCTTTTATACTAAAACTTACCACTCCATGTCAATGGCTAATTCTTACAGTGGCTCCCCTTCATCTCCGTATAACGAAGAAACGACAGGCATGTGAGGAAAATTTTGGTGTTCAAGCTTAATAAAATTAGTATTTATCATAGTGTTGCATATGTAATAGAAGAATCAAAGCAAGAGAAAGCAGCTATTGAAGAAAAAATTATAAACGAAGAATACAAGATCTGGAAGAAAAACTCTCCATTTCTATATGATTTGGTTATTACTCACGCGCTTGTATGGCCAACTTTAACGTGTCAATGGTTTAAAGATATTGATAGGTAACTTAATTCATATCTTTGATGTGAAAACCTATTTTCTTATTATCTTTATTACAAACTTTTTAATTCTATTTTTTCATCATGTATATTTTAGACCTGAAGGAAAGGATTATACTGTTCAACGTATATTAATCGGAACTCATACATCAGATAATGACCAAAATTATGTTGAAATTGCAAGTATTCAACTTCCAAAGAACGATGTCAACATAGATCCTCGTAAATATGATGAAGAGAAAGGAGGTATAAAAGTGAATATTGGATATTCTTTTATATAATCTAATGGATCAATTCACAATGAATAATTCAATATATATATATATATATATATTCTATATATTGAGTAGAAGTAGGAGGTTTTGGCGGTACTACTGAAACTAGAATTAAAGTTATTCAAAAAATTAATCACGATGGAGAAGTTAATCGAGCACGTTACATGCCACAGAATCAAGATATAATTGCTACCAAGACTGTTGAAGGAGATGTTTACATATTTGATCGTACAAAGCATCCATTAATACCTACTGATGGTATTTGTCAACCTGAATTAAAGTTGAGAGGTCACACTAAGGAAGGGTGAATATAACTTATTAACTTTAACTTTAAATTTTTATTATATTTATTATAATTTTCATAATAATTAGTTATCAAACTTTTTTATTCCTATTCCTACAAGATACGGTTTATCATGGAGTCCATTTAAAGATGGTCATATATTAGATGCTTCAGAAGATGCCACTATTTGCCATTGGTTAGTGAAAATTTATTCCTCTCTCTCTCTCTTATAAATTATTATTAAGTTAAAAGATATTATTTGTAATTATAATTAGGGATATTACTGGGTATACTAAGGATACACGAACAATGGATCCATTTCGAGTTTATCGAGGACATGAAGCGTTTGTTGAAGTAATTACATTATATATTTATATTTTTGATATTTTAATATTTTTAATTCTTATAATCTTTATTTAGGATGTAGCATGGCACACTCTTGAAGAGCATGTATTTGCTTCAGTAGGCGATGATCAAAAACTTTTAATGTATAAATTATTCCATCACATTATTCAACTACGTATATTTCATATTTATCATATTCATTTCTTATTTTTAATATGTATATATTTTAATATAATATAGCTGGGATACACGAGAAGATAAAGCAGATAAACCTGCACATTCTGTTGTTGCCCATCCAAGTGAAGTGAATACAGTTGCATGGAATCCTATAAACGAACATATCTTAATTACTGGTTCCGGCGACAAGGTATAAATTACAAAATTTTTTAAATTTTGTGACAGTTTCATTCATTCATTAAAGTTATATATCCAATTTTTTTTTATTTTATTTCAGACTCTTAATTTGTGGGATCTTCGCAATCTCAAAATTAAACTTCACACATTAATTCATCATCAAGGTGAAGTCTTACAAGTTGAGTGGTCTCCTCATGATGAAACCATTTTGGCATCTGCTGGAGGTGATAGAAGGGTCAACATATGGGATCTAAGTCGGATAGGTTCGGAACAGACTGCTGAAGATGCAGATGAAGGTCCACCCGAGTTATTGGTAAATAAATGTGTTTATTAGTTATTTTATTTAAGTATTCATGATATGTATACCTCTAATTATATTCTAATTATATTCTAATTTTATTCTAATTTTATTTATCAATAAAAATTATTATTAGTTTATGCATGGTGGTCATACCAACAAGATTTCTGACTTCAGTTGGAATCCTCATATACCATGGGTGATCTCTAGCACTGCAGAAGATAATATTATTCAAGTTTGGCAGCCAGTAAGGACATTATATGAAATTATTAAATATTAATTAATTTATTGAAAAATCTTTACTAATCTCTTTTTTTCCCCTTATTATATACATTATTTGTAAAATTATTTTAGGCAGCAAACATTTATTCTATTGATGATAGAGAAATTCCTCCAGAAGAATTGGAAGATTAAATTTTGTAATTTTTCTTTAACATTTTCATTAATATATTTGAACTTAGCGAGTGATATCTAATATAATTGTTCTACATCATTCAACTGTTAAATATACATTTTTTCGAAAATTGTTATAATAAAGTCAATGATTATTTTAATTAGAAAAGAATTTTTGCGATTTTTTTTTAAAAAAATTTTTAGATATTAAATTATATTTTTTCTAATAAACTTTAAATCTCAATTATAAAGTATACAAATAAAAATACAAAATAAAAAAAAAATAGTTTAAAATCATAAGAATTTAATAGTGAATTTTTTTGATCATTCCTTATGCACTTTTTTTCTCTACTTCATCCGGATTAACAAATGTACGACCTGTCTCTACTCCCGGCACTAAATAAGAAATATCATCCCAAGGATGTCTATAAAGACCTTGTTTCAATCGTTTTTGGTCTAAATAATGACCTATTAAAGAAACGGCGAAAATACAAAGATTAATAAACATAGTAAATTTCACTAGAAAATGAAAATGGGATTGATATTGTAAATGATAATAATAATTACCAGTGAAACCTATACTTCTACCAAGTACAAACAATCCATTCAATGCACCAATCTTGATATATTCTTCAGCTTCCTCTCTGGTGAATGCACCTGATTCACGTAATAAATCAACAAAACAAACAGCGATCGCTCCATCTAAATTAAGAATTAGTGAATCCTTTTTAGCAGTAGTTATTTCTTCTACCGCTAGCGCATAATCAAGTAATTTTGTGGAAGGAAAATTGGTTATAGCAAAGTTTTTAATTATTTCAACGCGAAAATCAGGATTGTTACGCGATTTAATCTTATGCCCAATACCAAGGATACTAATTTGATGAGATCAAAAATAAATAAATAAATAAATAAGTAACTGTAGAAATTAAAAATTTTTAAAAATTATATAATGAATTCTATATCTACAGCTTATTTTGTCTCCGCATGGAATTCACAAATTCTC